CAACGGTTTCAAATCAGCATCTCTTAGACAAAAAAAAAAAATGTATAACTAAAATAAAACTCCAAACATCTTTAATTGTATTTGTTTAGTTTTAAACCTGATTTTTATAAGATTCTTAGTTTTTGCAACAGTCTGTAAATATACACAACTTTTGAACTATTGCTCCTGTGGGGATTGCCCACAGTATTGAGTATGTAAGTCGCTTTGGATAAAAGCGTCTAACAAGTGACATGTAATGTAATGTTAACCCTGTACAACCTAAAATGAACTGTTGTTTAGCTATAGCCTATATTAAAAATCAATGTGATGAATTTGATGTTGCCCAAGGCTTCATCGAAGAAACTTGCATTTGCAGAAACAGGGATCAAAAAAATGTGTTATACTTATTTTAGTTGAAAACATGAAAAAGCGCACTTTTAAAGTGTCCAAACTGGCACATATAAGTGACAGGCACCTTTAATTTTAACCTGCACAGAAGGTGACGTAATGCCATTGCTGACCTCCTCCTTCTTTGTGAAACTATTTCTGTCGTTGACATAGATACCCACGACTATGTCCAAATTAAAAAAACAGCAGATGCTCCTGCCACAGGGGGTCAATACAGGACTTTCGAATGGATACTCCTTCTGTTGCTTTTCTCCGCACTTCTAATGGCTGAGAGCCGATTCACACGCCGGCTCAGGGCCAGGCTTTACAATCTGGTCTGATGTTGCAGTGGCAAGCAAACAAATGTATCATATCTTAATTGTGGTGATTTTAAATGTGTGATTTCATCCATTTTTAGACTCATGAGGATAGTTTTGTACAGTATATTCCTGATTTTGTGCTCATTCACTGTATTCATGCCATTTCCTGCATCATTGTCACATTATTTTCACATTGAGTCATATAAAGCACATATATAACACAATATTTTGGGAATAATATAATTGTTAGTGCTATTTAAATGATGTGATGTGAAAAAATGCAGGAGTTTTCACCAGATGGTTGAGCTCCACTTGGGAACACATAATGAACCTATAAATATCTTATAGTGGGCGCAGTCGCATAGAAAATAGAAAAATCACTTTAACTCTAGAGACATTTGGTTTTCTTGTACAATGCACGTACTGCCTTTAAGGGCTAAAGATCACACTAGAAATGAATTTGAACTAATTTAAATTTCATCTTAAATATACAACCAATTTACATTGTTCTTTTCAGGAAAGTTATTTAAGATTTTGAGGGAATTATTAAGATATTATATACCCCTAAAATATTCCAAAAAGCCAAGCTGTATTAACAAAACAAGAAACAACATTAGAGGTGTCCTAATTGAAAAGCATTATCAACAGTATTTAATTTAATCTGAAGTATTTCCATCGTATTCTCCGCCTAGTTCTCACTTGATGATGAGTTGTATAATATACATAATGCCGCATACTATGACACAATAAATACCCGCCATACTTTGTGCTTGTCGTGACTAACCTGCTGTAGGTTGTCCAGAACTGGACTTCAGTCAGGATTCACAGGGGGAAACCATCTGGACCCAACGGTCATTTCTATACATTCAGCAGGCTTTCCTCACACCGCACAGGCTGAGGAACAGCTTGAAGACGCTGAAACCACATGACTACATCTTATACTTGTATTGTGTACAGTCATGCAAAAGTCCTCTCTTTAAAATAATGATTCATCAGGACAGCCACGACAAACAACAAAACAAAAAAACAGAGTTATTGGATACAATATCCATCTTTTTAATATGTTATATGGATGTTCTAATCTAGAGCAAAATAGTATAATATTGTTCTGACATAGATTTGAAGAGTGTGATTAATCTTGACGAACAAATTATAAATCTCAACTGTGCACACATCTCTTGGCAAGTTAAGATTTAAAAAAAGTACAATTACTTCAAGTACGTAGGCTATAGGTGTTCAAGTACTTTGACCCCTGTCATATTTTAACAGAGAAACCTGTTAATTATTGTGCAGCAAAATTTAAAACTAATACAGTACTTGCATAAAATATACAGTAGGGTGCTGCTGTTAAAAGCAGAAAATGTCCTTGTCCATTATCACGTGCAAACAGTACTTTTGTGTTTCAGAAGTCCATCACAACAATCCGTTTCCATAACTTCCTTAATCGGCATCACAGCCAGATGAAATAGTATGTTTTTATGTTAATTTGGCGTCAAATCGCTGTTATTTCCACCCACAATGCAAAGCAATAAATATCCAGAAATAATCCAATCTTCAAATCTTCCCCCATTCCCATCTTTTCTGACTCTGACTTCGTTTCATAATATTGGGAATATTGTACTTTGTTTCATAATATTGGGAATATTGTACTTTTTTCACAGCAACCATTTTTCTGCAGAATGAGTATCTTTGTACTTCTACTGAAATCATACTTGTCAACCCTCCCGATTTTCGCGGGAGACTCCCGATTTCATTGCCCTCTCCCGGTTACGTCCCGGGGTCATATTTCTCCCGCATTTCTCCCGATTTCTGACAAAATCAGATTTAGTCAGGACTGTTTCCACTCGGACTTTAATACAGCTACACCATTGTTTGGTTTCCATGGTAACACGTCTCTTTAGTAGTGCGCGCAACTCAAAGTCTGAGAGGGTGAGGCAGATATTCACAGAAAACAGAACAAGAATCGACAACTACTCTACTCTCTGCTCACTCCTTTCCTGCCCACACATATGCTCCATCAAGGTGCTTCAGGCCGCAAGGCAGTGCACTTACAACTACAATAAGCATGTTAATGTTAATCTAACAGCTCCGGCGATCCACTAGCACCCCTAGTATGGTGAAGAAAGAAAAACAAGTTAAAATGTGCTACTCTCAGTTGTTAGTAATCTGTGGACAAACATTTAAGAAAGCCCTTTTTCCCTAAATTAAATTAAGGTTTGATCCCGAAATGTGTTAGTTATCTCATTTGCAGCTGCCATAAATAAACGTCAAATCATGCCAACACCAAAATAAGCCCAGAAATACAAGGAACTGTATCTAAGGGTGGGTATTTTTTGTCTACTATGGCATATATCAGTGTGATTGACAACTAGTTTGTTGTCCATTGTGCAAACACACAAAACCTCGTCCCATCTGCCACTCCAAACTGCTCCTAAAATTACTTTGCATCAACTGTCTGAAATAGATGTGATTTAGACAGACAAACAACAAGAATATCTGATGGGTTTTGTTTGATTGCCTCTGATTTTATGTAAGGTAATTTCATGAATTAAACACCCAATATATAACATGTTAATAAGTTACTTTTAGAGGTTTTAGTAAGATTACTTTTATAAACCTTGACAGAGCCAGTTAAGACGTTTCCAGTATTTATGCTAGGCTAAGCTAACAGGAGGCTTTTTGGGCCTAATTAAATAGCTAACAAGTAACATATTTAAAAAGTGAGAGTGTTATCAGTCTCTAATCTTTAGCTTCATCTCTAGCTTCATCATAGCCCTATCTCTAGCTTCATCATAGCCCTATCTTTAGCTTCATCATAGCCCTATCTTTAGATTAATCTTTAGCTTAATCTTTAGCTTCACCTTTAGCTTCACCTTGGCTTTAGCTTAATCTTTAGCTTCCCCTTTAGCTTAATCTTTAGCTTCCCCCTTAGCTTCATCTTTAGCTCTATTTTTATCCTTTTCTTTTGCTTAATCTGTATCTTTAGGGTACAGGCATACAAGTGGAGTTTATCGTCTCATTTAGCAGTTAAGCCAAAAACCTTTTCCCCCTAAACAAACCATAAACAGCGTGTTAGCAGTGAAGTGTTGTTGGAGCTATTTTTATCTGAACTTTTGACAGAGCCCAGCTGTTTCCTCTGCTTCCAATTGTTATTCGAAGCTAAGCTAACCTCCTCCTGTCTCCAGCTCATTATTTCCCTAACTGTTCGCTTAAAGTGTACTTCCCAAGCTTCTGGGCTACAGTTCCTGAAACCACTGTGAAGCCAAGGCTAGATTAATATCAACAACTGCAGCCAACCGCTTTTGTTAATGTTGGTCTTTTTTAAAGCTTTTTTCAGTCGGTGCCGATGAGTGTCTACTTGTGATCATCCTGCTTCTGTGTTAATGCAGTTTTACTGTGTTCTGGGTATGTCATCGTGATTTTTCTGAACTTTTCCCACTTGTGTAGTTACATAATGCTGCAGCGTTTGTGACTGATGCACCATCATTTTGGGCAGAGAGCTCTGAAAAGTCACAATAACAGAGGCAGCTACACAGAAATGTGAGTCACGTTGAGCTATCAGAGTGTCAGCTTTAATATAGTTCTGAGAATCACGATTTCTTATGGTTTTATCTTGTATTAAACCACAAAGTCTAAACTGGTGCTGCATCAATCACAAATAATGTGACTATAACCTCTGAGTTAAACCAGCATGAGATCATTAACAAAAAAACACTACATGGGAATTTACTGCAGAGCTGAAGTCTTACGGCCCGTCTACACTACAGGCATCGAAAAATGCTTTCAACGCTTCGCCCATTCACTTGAATGGGGTGACGTAGAAGATTTTTACCCTTCGCCGAACTGCATTGTGGGGAGCATGGCATGGCTTTGCAAGCATCATGAGCATCTATCGGCATCAAAAGTTGAACAATGTTCAACTTTTGAGGCTCGATGCTTGGCATCAGCCAATCAAATCCCGTTTATGCAATTCCCTCCAGTACAAGCGCTAGCCAATCAAACCGCGTGTATGCTGATACCGCAGGTCTTGACTATTTTCCATATGTCATAAAATGGAGGATAAATTAATCATTGGCGTGGCAAGTGTCCCAGTCCTGTATGACTGTACTCTATTCACCTACCGGGACCTAAACTGGAGGAACCAGGCATGGCGGGAGGTGGCAGAGACAGTTGGTGAAACTGGTAGGTTTTCAACTGTTTGGGGAGTTTATATCCAGTTTACTTCGTTGAAGAAGAGGGCTTTTTTTTGCTTTGTATGCCGGGGGCAGGCGGGAGATTCCTGATTGGTTGTTGGTCGCCTTGGGCGCGAGAAATCGCCAAGCCTCAGACACGCCCAGCTTCAAGATTTTTTGATGCCTGTAGTGTAGACGGGCCGTTAAACCCTTTCCTTCCAAAATTAGCGCAAGCATGCAGTTTTTTTAAACACCAGAAAACCTGCTAAAAATAGGCGATAAACTCCTTTTCCATTCCCTGTAGACAAGTGTGTCTTTCTAGGTTTTTCAGGTTTGACAAATGCACCATAAAGCAGAGATAATGAACAGTAATTTTTTATATATCTATGACTTAGTCAGTCTCTCTTTCAAACTCAAACCATGTGATTCGTTGTCAATGTATTGGGTAAATTAGTCCTCTTTCTAAGCTGAAGGACTTATCTTCAAAAAAACATGAGCCCATAATGTGCTAAACGCAAGCTACATTTATAGTTTTACATGACTCTTTGTTGAGAAACTCATCTGTCAATCAAATCCCCTAATCGAGTGTTAATTGACTAAGAATATCCTAATCTTTTTAAAAACAGCAGAAGGACTAAAGGGGACACATTTGTGTTTGAATAAAGTTTGTTTGACGACAATCAGCAATCTAAAATGATTGTTTCTGCCAATGGAGTCTGGTTGCTTTGAGAAGAGCAGTTAAAACATGTTCCTTTTCACATTTAACTCTAATAATTAAGGGGTGGAAATATAAATAAAGATGGATTTATCTTGTCATTCTAGTGTGTTTAACGACAATCATGGAGGTTAAATTACTGTTTCTGTCAATGGACTCTGGTTGTATTGAGTAGAGCATGCTAATTGTATGTTTTGAACGTTAATACAATAATTATCCAAATCCCTGTTGATTTCATAGCATTGCGTCAGGAAAGGGGCGAAATTTAGCATGTTCATTGTGTTGTCTTTTTCCCACCAACTCTGATCGGAGCCCTAAACATTTTCCCAAAATAATAACGAATGCAAACTAGACTTTTCCCGTTCAAGACAAATGCCAGATGTTTTGAAGTCCAGTAGGTGAGGTAAAATGATGTTATCTCTCTATTTCTTATTGTGCAGTTCCTCAGCTGACTCCGCCTGTAGTTCCTGTTCAGCTGTCCCCTGTTTACCCTGAACACCTTGTGGTCTGCAGTGTGTGTGCACAGGTAGATGTCTAATTTCACTACTTGTTAACACCCACAGGTTACTTCTACCTTCAAAGAAGTGATGTGCAAACAGACTCAGAGAATCCTTTGAGTAGTTACCTGCAAATGTGTAAACTTAACATGACTTTTAAACATTATAGTTGACTTTTACGTTGGCATTTTGGACTATTTTCTTGTCTTTTTAAGTCTTCAGTATATTGTATGCTGCACTCTAAGCGGGGTCTGGGACTTCAGATTTCCATTGCCAACAACAACGCTGTGGCTATTGTGCATATGATAACAATCCTTTGACATTAAAAGTATTGAACGTTTCAAACCCTTTCAAGTTTTGAACGTTTTCGCATAACATGCCGTCAGTTTCTCCATGAAACTCATATATAGTACATGCACGTTCAACCTGTGAAACTCCTCTGAAATGCATTACTATATAAGTACAAGTCTGCATTTCTACAAATATCTCCCTGGTTTGTTTCTTTCGTTGTTCGCACTAAGACATTTTCTTTCATTTTTGCACATCATTGCTTCCAAACATAGCAACCCTTCCTCAAACTGATATTTGAGTTGTCTTGTCCTACTGTTTACTGGGATTATAGCACCACAAACATCTAGCATGTCTCTGCTGTGAGGCCGGCTCTCTGGCAGTCTAGACACATTGTCCTGTGCTGAAATCTGCTGTGTCGAGAGTTTTAAACGGAGCTGCGTCTCTTAAACATCCTGAAAGGAGATAAGAGGTGCAGGCCTGTAGTTATGGAGCTGATGCTCGAGCATTGACGTGGACTACAAACACATCCCGTGGACCCCGGCTCCACGTAGTGAGGACAGTTCCTGCTCTGCGGCATGTAGGGGTTCGATAACATCAGCTCCTGAGGGATGGAGCCCCGCAGCTTCTCCTTGCTCCTGTACCACAAGCAGGAGCATATTGTCTGGAAGTGCAGCACCTCGGTGTAGACGCCTTTCAAATCCTTCGCTTTGGTGGCGTCTTCTGCTAAAGAGGTGGAGGCCGAGAGGGGGAGCAGTCGAGCCACCTCTCCTCGGGGTTTACCGACGGGAACGAGCGCGCGTTGCCTGGCGTCCCGTCGCTCGTCCTCCGTGTTCATGGTGAGGAAGCGAAGCACCACCAGGTTCAGGAAGGCTCCGATCACCGTGAGCCCCGTGAGGATGTAGACGAAGCAGAAGGCCACGTAGCGAGGGTCGTTCTGCAGCGCGTCGTCCCTCTGCAGCGCCACGTAGTCCCCGAAGCCGATGGTGGTGAGCGTGATGAAGCAGAAGTAGAAGGCGTGCAGGAAGCTCCACCCCTCGCAGTGGGAGAAGGCCGCGGCCCCGACACACAGCGTGCTGAGGCAGGAGAAGAAGCCCACCGTCACCATGTTGGCCATGGACACGGCCGTTTCACGCAGGCCCAGGCACTTCTTGGCCTGGTGCAGCAGGTACCTGACGAAGGTGTTGATCCGCTCCCCCAGGCTCTGGAACATCACCAGAGTGAGCGGGATCCCCAGGAGGGCGTAGAACATGCAGAACACTTTCCCCGAGTCGCTGCTCGGAGCCGCGTGGCCGTAACCTGAGGAGACATCGCAGGAGACACGTCAGACTGAGAGTTACAAGATGCTGTCTGACGTAGTGTGGCAAAGACTGGAGATTTGGCTTTGGCTGGTTGAAATGATATCAGAAAAGCAGTTTGGAAATGCTACAAATTTACTTTTACAAGTAGAAATTACACTTTGAGGAGTAAAAACTGGATTAATTAGGGCACATAATATTTAAACTATTGAAAAGATTTAAGAATAAAAAAGGTTACACGTCAGACTGAGAGTTACAAGATTATATCTGACGAGATAGGATGAGGCAAGGACTGGACATTTAGGTTTAGAAAGTTGGAATGATATCAAAAAAGCAGTTTTGAAATGCTACAAATGTACTTTTACATGTAGAATTGACACTTTGATGAATACAAACATAATATGTAAACTATTGAAAAAAATCTAAGAATAAAAATAAAACTATTAATAAACTAAAATATTTATATTAAAAGATAAAGCCCTTTAAAATAGATCTATCCTACTTCTCCAGTGAAGCTGTATTCATTATTATTGATTAGGTCATTTGGTCACAGGACATAGAAATCATTCTTTATCTTAAAAATAAAACATGAAAAACAAGGAAATGAAAAAAATAAAAATTCAGATTTGTTGATAAAAAATATGTAAAATTACCAAAAAAATAAATTATATTAAAAATAAATAACATTTAATTCAGCAAGGAGGCACTGTTACTGACTTTACGCACTTTGTATCGTCTATGTAGGCTTTTAGGATTCCCTCATCACTTTAACAATGCCTATGTATTTATCATATCATCCCACAAAGTTTCTCCATCTTGTTTTGTACTTGTTTACTGTCTTTGCCTCTGAATCGCTGAATTACACCTCAGCGCAGCCCCCTCTCTCATGCTCTTAATGTGGAAATAAATGAACTTCCGCTCACCTATGGTTGTGATCACAGTGATGGCGAAGTAAAAAGACCCCGCAAACTTCCACTGCACGCCGGCTTTGTGCGGTTTGAGCTGCACGACGACGTGTTCCAGCTCCTCGAAGTCCCCTTTGGATAAGTTGTATTTACGCATGAGTTCGTGCTTCCTGGCCTCCAGCTTCCTTTTGTGGCTTTTCTCCTGCTTCGACTCCAGGGTCTCAAACACGGCCGCCCCCACCACCAGGTAAGTGAGGATGCTGATGATGAGGGCGAGGGTCCGGGCGTTTTGTCTCTTCATGGTAAGTAAATAAAAATAAAAATGGAGAGACACTTCTTTTTTGTTTCCCCTGCGTCCTTCCTGCTCCTCCTCGCGTATCCAACAGAGGGGTTTGTGACTTTTGGAGCCGGAGCTGTTCTCAGCACCACCCCCACATCACAGTTGGGCTGATTCTGTATTTGGAGTATTTGTCACAGACTTATATTTAGATCTGCCAGGGGTGAAAGAAGTACTCAGATATATAACTTCAGAAAAAAAGTATGCAAAATGGTTCAAATATTGACTTAAATTACCAAAAGTGAAAGTAGTAATTGGACAAAGGACATATTTGACATGAGAAAAAGTATGAAAAATGGCTTTAAATATATACTTAAATCACAGAAGGTAAAAGTCGTCATGCATATTGGCAGTGGTGGAAGAAGTATTCAGATGATTTACCTTTAAAAAAGAGTAAAAAATCATACAAATATTCACATAAATGGTCAAATAAAAACAATGCTGCATTGACTTTGGATCACTGATATGGCAGCTGGGGTCATTCTACAGAAAAGGTGGAAGTACTGTCACTTACTTTTGCAGACACCAAAATACATGACGTTGATCTAATACTCACATTCATTATATATTATCTTTGCAGTGGTACTAAATAAAAAAATGAAAAAAATTATTTTATACATAAATTGCAATTTATTTAAAATGCCAAGTTCAAGGAACTGCTTTGACACTTTGATCATACATGGAAGTGGAACCTATGGTTTTCATTTAAAATATTTTTTTTTCAATAAATAAATCTCATTCATATTTACATAACATTACATACATTAAATATAACACTGAAATGGTAAAAAAAAACGCAAATTATTATTAATAATATCCATTAAATGTCAGTCACCCAAAATGACGTCATTGGTGTTACTGCTACACAAAACGCTTTTATTTTGAAGTAATGTACTGTCTCTGAAGTGCCTCCTGTAACAAGAGATCATTTGAGGCAGTGCAGACAAAGACATAAGGAAAGTCAGATACTTCTTACTTTGTTTGTTAATGGTGTCATTTTATCTTCAAATTGTGTGCGTCTTTCAAGTCTGTCATTAGTGTTACTAATGTCATAGCCCTAGGGGTGAACATTTGAATGGGAACATGTATTGTATTGAAGAGTGAAACGATTTTGATATTGACTGAAGCCATATTTGGTCTGACACATTGCAGCCATTTTGTTAAAATGGTAGTGTTTTCTCCAAATTGTCACTGGTGTTACCGTCACTGGTGTTACTCTTCTTCCTGGTAACACGTAACCAGGTGACGTTCCTATGTAAATAAGCTTTGTATAATGTATAAAAATAATACAAAATACTTTAAGCTCTACTTGTTGTGGATTCATCAAGTTAAGAGTTGGTTATTGCTATTTAACAAGTTTTAGATGTGTTTAGAAGGAATATTTCAGCAGATTTGTATCACCCAGATTCCACCTTTTCTGTAGAATGACTCAGATGATGCATGCTTAAAGGAGATACCACGCCTTCAAAGGAGACCGGAGGAAACGTTAAAGTGAAATACTAGCTTGTTTTTAATTGTTATGAGGCTTATGCTAGTACATCAAATACATGGTGTTTTCCCCTATGCAAATGTCCATTAGCTTATCAGTCGCTTATTTGACCTCTGAGATCTGCACAGAGACACAAATGCTTACATACAGGTGCAGCACATAACCCAATTAACATCCTGTCATGCTCTGTGACATGCATCAACATTTGAGTTTTATGAAGTGTGATTTAAACCTGCAGCATTGCAAACTCATTGCACACGCCTCAGTCTGCAGACGCCTCGTCTAATTTCTCTGGCTTCCTGCGCCGCCTCTCACGGCCGTCCTCTTTATTAATCTGACACTTTCCTTCCCCTGAGTCAACACTTTCTGCACTCCATATTGCATCGCCTCGCAGCCAGACGAGAGGAGGGGAACACACACACACACACACACACACACACACACACACGCTTTGAATTTTGACAAAGGAGGCCCATCCAAGAGCACTCGCGTCTAAAATATTAGGTCAGCCAGTTTGAACTAAAGCAGGGAAAGAGAAAGAAGGATAATAATACACTTGTGTGAAAGCCTTTAAGAGCAAAGACACATGTGTTGATTTGTTTTATGAAAACAGTTTTTTGGGGGGGAAAGATTTGTAATCACATAGTTGATAACCTTTGAAAAACAGCTATCCTGGCTCCAAACATTTACATTTTATTTGAAGCCATTTTAGTAGCACTTATAATGGTGCGGCTAATAGCTGATGTACCTGCAGGACACTTTTTTCTTTTGTTGTGTTCCTTCATGGTTGATGGACTTTTTGTTAGTCCATTTGGATAAAAGAAAATGGGAGAGAAACTCCCTCTGGAGGGAACACAGGGAGTTTAGCCTTTGCAGACCATTCACATGCACACAAACCTGTACAACACACAAACTGATAGGGAAAGCCCCAAAAGTATAATAGGGCTTCTTTAATACTCATTTTAAGGTATTCATTTTCCCGTGTGTGGATTGTTGGGATACCCAGGATTACCTAAACAACACAACCCAACCTGCAGTGACCAAACATCCGCAGCAGAGCGGTTTTCCCACTGTGACGCTCACTAACGGACCGTTTTCCCCGGACTCTGCTGCAACAGTGAGCATCAGAGCGGCTCCATACACTGAGCAGGACTCACCTAAAGCTGAACCAACATCAGCCTGATGGCTCAGCGCTCTGCTGCCTCTGTTACATCAACAACAACAACAACAACAACAACAATACACCTTCCTCCCCCTGCATCGTAATCCCTGGACGGCCGCCACGTGTCATTTCCTGATTGACTTGAGGTAGTTCTTCATATTAACAGATCTGGGAGCATGCATGGCTCTATATATTGGATCAGATCCGGACAACGACGATGATGATGATGATGATGATGATGATGATGATGATGATGATGATGATGAGGATGAGGATGAGGATGATGATGAAGGAGGCAGGAGGCAGGAGTCCAGGCCATCGGAGTTTGACACAAATCACTACAGCGGCTTAAAGCAGCTCAACTGAATTTACTCTGAAGACAAAAATGAAAAAGCTGAATTCATGTTCAAAGGAGCAGAACACCTGGTATTTACCTCGCTAAAAAACAATGCACAACTGCACTAGGATCTGCATTTATGGTGCACAACTGGAATATCTCAACATTTAGACTGTGATATAGTCTAATACTCAATTCTGATTGGTCAATTGGAACATTCCAGAGGTTGTTAATTAGGATGCGATACACCGTTGCTAAGGAGAACAGACCACTGCTATTCTCTGATATTTCCCAGAGATGGTTAGCATGAGGCGAATACATGCAGGAGACACACACTTCCTTTTGATGATTCCTCAGATGTGGCATTCGGTGCGTGTATCACTTTATCACATTAAACAAAAAACGCCTCTTTGCGTAGCTAACACCGACGTTAATCCGCAGAGCTGTGATTCACTGAGTTTAACAGGGGGAAAGAGGTGTGTGATTCCCAGCAGCGTAACACACCAGCAGCACTGATCCCACTAACCAAACCTGACATGTCATCTATTCTCAAACTGCCCCGAAGAATTGGCCAGGACAGAGGAAGAGGAGGAAGAGGAAATGGAGGGGATGAACAGGAGTAGAAGCACTGTCCACTTTGAGTCTTTAAAACAGGATCCCTGCAGCAGTTTGTGAAATGGTCATTTAGTCCACTGATCGTGTGCATGAAACCACATTTTCCCTCCAAGCATTTTTGGTGCGGGCGGCCATCTTTGCAGGACAGTGTCCATTCACCTTGGCCCGCCCTGGTAAATCAAAAGCCTGCACACAGATTTAAGTCTGCCGCCGGTTCTGGTCCAACCATAGGGGGTTAAATAATCATTCACATTTAAATTATTATTTACAAGAGGTATGAATTTGGCGATAGCTAGCTAGTTAGCTTCATTAGCCAGCGTGTTAGATAGGTAGCAAATCTAAGCTAGCAAACTAGGTAGATGTATGCCAAACTTTAGCTAGCTTGTTAGATAGCTAGATCGCTAACAGATTGCAAGCTAGTTAGATTTATGGTGAGCTTTGGCTAACTTTAGATAGATGGATGGATGGAGTGGATGGATAGGATAGATAGAGAGCGTTTGCTAGCTAACTATCACACTGACAGGTTAACTGAGTTGGTCTCTGGTTGTTTTTATAAATGTCAGCACTGTGGACCCTCTGGCAGTGAGTTATATAAACTGTCCACTTGAGCCAGGTCTGCAGTCAGTGCGGCTCATATGTTCTGGTTCTTTTTGAAGCTGCTCATAGCAAAGACACAGGTCTACACCACAAGACATACAGGTAATCAACATGTCCTCATATAAGATGTTATTGTCATATGTCATCCTGCAGTCACTAACACTGGATGGATGCTGTAAAACCAATCCATAGTGGCAGATTAGCTGTGCTAGTGCTAAACCGGAAGAGCTAAGACATTAGCATTTGAACAGGAGGTGGGAAAAGGGGTGGGGCTACATAAGGTGAATAGAAGCTTTCTTTCCCAGAATGCACCGCGGTTCTTTCCCAGTTGGACTGAATACATTATTTAGAAAATCGTGAATGAAAAAGAAACGCAATGAACGCAAATCAATGCATTAAATTACCATTTCAGGAGCTATAGGCTTTCCGTCTCCTCACATCTCCCTCTGTGCTTCAACCTCTTTTTCATCTCTCTGTCTCCCTGCCCTCCCCCTTTCTCTCCCTCCCTTTCTCTCTGCAGAGAGTCACGTCGAGGGGAGATAGTGGTGAAGAGAGGGGGACAGATGACGGGTGAGGGAAATGCATGAGAGGATGTGGAGTCAAATGTATAATGAGGCAGAGAGGGAGCTGTAGCGAGAGGAGAGACGGAGGGGAGGAAATACTAAGAGCGGGAGATGTTTTCCCCCCCTTTCCTTTATCTCCCCCCTGTGTCACCCTGATTATATAAGAGCCACGTGCTAAAAATAAAGCCTGCAGTAACAACT